CAACTGATACAAATTCTGGAGTGAAAACACTGGGAAAATGTAGCAGAACAGAAACAAATTCTTCATCTATTACACCACCACACACAATGATGTTTTAATACTTAGAGACTTGGTTATTTTTGAAGCAGTGATAGTTGCCAACATATAGCCTGATAAATAAATCTAAATGACTACACTGGAAAACTCTGAGACAGCATGGGATACCAAAGCTGAAATGAAGAGGACATTGGACTCAGCCCTCCAAAGTCCTCAGTATATTTTGTATGAACAGGAACTGAAAACGCTTTGGGCCCTGAGGCCTGGAAGGCACTTATCCCTACAGTAGCCCAAGCCCTGTTCTTTTCCAGGCATTCCCCTCAGCTCCACATAAACCTTAACAGATCTTTGATCCCAAGAAAAGTGGGTTCTTTTGTAATGTAAAAGTTGCTCTCTTTTGTAACATGACTTGCAAGTTTTGGAGCATACTGTCTGTCCTTTCAATTGAATTCCCTCCGTGTATACAAGGCTGTTAGATATCAATGTGACTAGGGTAGTACTAGAAGCTAAATATAAAGTGTACGTGAGTGGGCCACCAGCACCATGCATAAATCCATATAATATGTACTTTTAACTGTAAGAAGCACTTAAATGAAATAAATCCACCTTATTCTGCACCAGCTAAATCATAATTTAGTTTTAGTTGTTTTTAATGTATTCAACATATGCTGAATTTCAATATATTCATCATGCAAGAAGTTGTTTAATCTTGAATGAAATTATATTAACACCCACAAAGAAAAGCATTTTTAGCAACCATTGCCAAGTCTTCTAGGACAGCCTCCCAGATTGTACTCAGGCAGTAATATTTGTAGTTATGCTTGTCAGTGGCTCCACTGACAGCTGCACAAGAGCTGGAGAGCCACATCAGTGGAGACCAGGATATCCTGTGCTCCTGCTGGTACCAGTGTAAAAGCCATATGAGAGCTGATGGGATGGCTAAGGGAACACAGTAAGAGTCAAAGCAGCACAGGAAACTGAAACTGCTTAAATCCTCACTGAGTAGCTACAAAGTAGATGATGCAGCAAAGGAAAAAAATGTTATATGCCTGTCAAAACAAATTTAAACAACATTTCTCATTTAGCTTGGATCAAAGACAAGCATTAATTTTCTACTTTGGTTTTCAAGAAAATACTCCCTTTAATATTACACTTTAAATGGTTTTTGAGATAGTTATTATCAGAAAATGGCAGTGATTTCACATCCTCACAGGAAAATTTTCTCCTCCCAAAAGACAGTCTTTCGCATATGACTTCTGCAAAACATTTGATACACAGAGCAGACACAACAGCCAATTCAGTAACACTCAGGTATCTTAAGACTGTATCCACATTGGCCATCCAAGGGAAAAAAAATAACTTGTATTTACCTATATGAGGTCAGCATTGAAAAGAGGCATTTGAACAGGTCATGTAACTTCGAAAAAATAAATATTTGTGAGGGGCTTTCAGATAAATTCAAAGCTTTTTACACAACACTTGCATAAATACATGATGAAATATTTCATATCAGAACTAAAAATGAAATATTCATTTTCAGATGGGATGGAAAAAGGGTGTGATTTTCAACCAGCGAGTTCTTTTTAAAAAAGGAAAGAACAAACAAACAAACACCCCCCAGCCCTCCTCCCACCCCCCCCCCCCAAAAAAAAAAAACCCAAACAGAAGAAACAACCCTACCAAAACATTAGTCCTATAAATATAAATTCCCTTGTTAGGGATGTATGGCAGTATTTCCCTCAGAAATCTCCGTATTTTCTGGTACCTAGCCTCTGGGGGGGTCTGTCTGAAAGGTATCTTTCCAAAACTTGGGAATTTTTTCAGAGTAAGAAACTCTGTTAAAGTACTTAAGACCTGATACTGAGTTCATTAGAAGGTATTTTTGTCTTCTGTCTTTTTTCTTGTTCTGTACCTCCCCCTTCCTTAATGAGGGAAGAATAATTAATTAAAATTCACTAGACAATCACAACTCAACAAACCTGCCATCAATTTCTGTCACATTTATATTTTTGCAATTATGTGCAACAGAAAGTCACATAATGGATTACATTTTGCTAAAATCCAGTGATGTTCTCATAGCCAAAACCAATAAGACACAACGATACATCTGCTTTAAGTAATTAAAAAAGGCTTCTAAATAACACCCAATTAAACACTAGATGCTGTCACAGTACCCTACTCCTGCTTTGGACACACTCCCCTCTTGATCTTCACGTTCCTTTCTAAAGCTAAATTCTTCCACCATCCTGTAGGACAGAAGAAAAGATGGGACCAATGAGTAGGCCTTAAAGATGCTGACACGGGATTCGAAGAAGAATTGGCCACTTCCAAGCCCCAGGGCTTTGGTGATATGGGAGCCTACCCCTAGAGAGAGAGGTCTTCTTCTTTGTTTACACATGTGAAAAAACAATCTGGCTTACAGAGCTGAAACTCAGAGGTAACAATTCTGAAGACAGATGAATGACAGCTGGATTAAAAAGGCTCTCAGTCTCATCTGTTCTTCTCACTTATTACCTGTCAGCTAACATGTCACTCCAGTATCTTGTGAGAAAAGACCTAAGGAACCCCTTGCAACTTTAAAAATTCTCACTGAGCAGCACAATATTGTTATCAGAAAATTTGACTTGCTGGAGAACGCATTGAAACACATGTGCTCATCAATGCCATAGAGAACCTGTTTTTTCCTATCAGTTTTTTCCAACAAGATGTACCAAAATCTTGTCATCTAGCACTGGAACCCTCCCTATATAGTTGTCATTCATATGTCAGATATGTTTTATTAATTTGTACTGCTAGAATAGAGATCCCTGGAATTAAATATCCAGAAAAAGGTAAAACTTCTCTGTGACTGGTAAATGTCTGATGTAAAAAAAATGTTAGAGGATGATCAATTTGGGGAAGACAAAGAGCTGCAGTGGGAAATTACCAAATAGAAGCCACCCAGACAACTCTGAAACTACCATTGTTCTCTGAAAACAGACAAATAGGTAAGGCACACCAGATGCCTTACCTATATACCAGATAAGCCAAGAAAACAGAAAAGAAAGATGACAGTTCTTGAAGGCTGCAAAGAGCTACAAGCCACTGAGCCTAAAATTCGTCACCTACAAATTGGTAAAATATAGAATAGAAAGCAAATTAAGGAACATATAAGTGGAATATATGAGAAGAATTCTGCTATAAATCATAGTTATGCCTCAAACACCTCCTGGGTTTTTTTTGAAGGAACCAGCAGATCCACAAGCAAAAAATGTCAGCCTGATACCATCCGACTTCCAAAAGACAATAATGAATGGTGGCCCTTGACAAGACTACTGAAGAAATTCAGGAACATCCTCATGTGCTGAGCAGCCACTGATGGGAGGTAATTCAAGACCTGGGGAATCCAAGAGGGATCTGTATGAAAGTTTGTAACATTTACTGTCATGGTATCAGACAGATTACACCAACAGGAAAGGGGATTTAAAAGATGAGCTAAAAATGTATCTGGTTATTCATAACAGGAGAACTAGATGATTACATTCACAAAGGATGTGCAAAATTATACATACATGAAAAAGCAAACCAACACAAAAAAATACATCTCTCCCAGTGTTATAAAATATAAACCCCACCAGTACTGGCCTATCAGCTTTCCTTCTCTTCTAACTTTAAGTAATGCAGAAGCCTGTTCTTGAATGACTGAATTTATCAGACTTTTCAATTGCACCCTGGCTTAACTGATGAAATATCTTGGCTTTTAAAGGTTGAATTTATCCTTTGGAAATCTGTAGACAGTTTACGGAAAAATACTGACATTAAAAGAAATTATTCTTATTTTAAAATGTAGTTCCTATGGGTCTGTGTATAGTGCAGGCTGGACTGCTTTAAAAAATGTTAGATATAAACCGTTTAAGACATTTCACTGAAAGAAATACAAAGAAGGTATATAGGTCTCAGGAGGGGAAAAAGAAAAAGATACATTAATAATGGCAAACTTATTGTCATGAGTGTTGCATTTTACTTGAAAAACATATTTTATAGGCTTTTGGAAATAAAAAGTGTTTTAAGCTTTAACTCTCCTGGAAAGGAATTTTTCTCCTCTTTTTGCATATATTGAAATATGAAAACAAAACACAGGGTAAACAAGTACAAAGGGCCCTGTAATCTTTCAACAAAAACTTTCCAATTACTTTATGTAATTAATCATCTGATTTTCTGCACATTCTATGCCTTTCCCCGTGTTCTGAGGACTATCCTCAACTAAGCAAGATGCCGAGGGCCTAAAAATCTCACTCGACACTCTGCATGCCATTCACCAACAGCCCTGAAGAGGGTATAGTTGCACAGCTCACTGCTCCTTCTCTCCTGAAACTCATTTCACTTCAAAACCAAAAGATTGACTGATTGTTTTCTCCTTTGCTTTTTGTTACAGTATTAAAAGTTTAGGGCAGAAAAAAGAGCATGAAGAGTGTTCTGGATCTCACCTCCTTAGTCTTCCAAGGAAGTTACTCACTCATATATATTTCTGTGCAATTCACTACTATGTTAACCACCTACAGATGAAATAACCTAATTATAGCTTCAATCAGGTCAATATCTATCAAAAATTTTAGAACTGCACTACAGACAGAAACTTCTGAGCAAAAAACATGTGCTCTCTAAATGAAAGATGTTATTCCACTAATCAACTAGAACAGCTCTGATCATGGGAGCTGTTCCCACCAACCAGACCTACATTTCAAGCAAATGAAGTCTAAATTACCAGCAGTCATGCAGGAATCAACTATGATTAATGAAAGTTAACAGGCAAAGAAAACCCCCTAAGCTGAAACCACATTTTCAAATACAGCCTATCAGACAGCATATTGGTAGAGCTTCTATTATAATTCATGGAACAAACCCTTTTAAGTTAAAATGTGCTACTTGGAAACAGATAAAAGTATTTCTTAGCTGTCTCTTTACCAAACAGCATTATAAATTACCTGAATTCATTTTTATGCATTTCAGCTATTTTCTTCTCAAGCTTTTGTGACTGCTTGGGAAAAATCTTAAAGTCGCTGATGTAATTCTCTGGGTGTTCATCAGGATCATAATCACCAAGTTCAGCTGAACAGATCCAAAACACAAACAAAGCAGAAAAATTGAATTGCAACATTAATTAATGGGGAAAGAAGGAAATAAATGCAGCGTAATTCAAGGTACTTTCACGCTCCCTAAGAATCCAGCATCTCTCAAGAAATGTTTCTTTGAGGAATTTATAATTAACTGAAATAACAAAATCCTTATAACTGTCACTTTAATCAATGAGTTTCAAGAGAAGTTCAATGCCTTATTAACTACAGCATTAATTAGCAGTAGTAAACTATTTTCTGTGGCAGAAAAATGCTCTGTGAAACAGAAACATCAGCACTGTTCCCCTCCGAGTATCTATTATTCTGGTACCAGACAGAACTAAAATAATGCACTCCTGATTCTTCCCTTTTTCACATGATTTATCCTCACTGGACTGGTTCTAATTCTGTTCTAGCAGAGAAACACAGGCCACAATGTTGATCAAGCCATCAGGCAGAACTTGATTTCTCTTCTAAAGATGTGTCACTTAGGTACCCAAACCTCACATTTGGTGTTCTAATTTTCTGAATGAGCCTCATTTAATAAGGCCTGGACTCAGTTTTGGTTTGGAAACACTGCCTTGTAATGCATTAAGAACTTTGTTCACCTTAAGGAAGAATAAAGGAAACTTTCACACATATGGTTTCCCTAATCAGACACACCGATGATTATTCCTTTCTGTACAATTCAAGACATATCTATCTGAATTTGGTCCTAAGGAAATGATGGAGAGGAAAAAAACAATAAAAATAGGGAAAATAAAACAAAATTTCTTTCCCCTTGAATTACATCTTCTATTTTTGCCAGAGATTCCATCATCACACAGGTCTTCTTTAATATAAGAAAGGACACCGAATGACACTTTTTCCTGCTTAATTCAAATGGAATAGGCTACTTTCCCATTCAGGATTCAGAATGGAGTTTTTCTTTTTTGGTAAGTGGAATCTAACATTGATGTCATACTTCTTCACTAAAATGCTAAGACAACTGCTTTGGTTTAATTTCTTTTAAGCTCCACCTCATTGGCTAACAGGCTGAAGTGCTTACTTCACAGTGCATGTCAATACAGGGGAACAGTACAGCAACAACAACAACAAGTTATTGCTAGCTGTAGTTATACAAGTTTTGCACTGCTGCTTTGATAGAACAAACATATGACTGAAGTATTTAAAGAAACCTGCTGGTCGTACTTACCTTGGACAATACAGGCACCCAGGTAGGCAGCATCAGAAAAGGAACACAGCAAACGGCCATGGAAAATGTCCCTTTTTATTTGTAGATATAAGAGGTATCTGAAATAAAATTTTAAAGATGAAGAAACAACATGCTATCTTTTTGTAACAGATTTAAAGTATCGGCATGAAACCAGATGTGCAACTATTTTGGATCTTCCTTTTTATTTTAATTGGCACGAAAAAGAGGCAAAACACAACCACATGGAAAAAACAGAGGTAAATAGATCTCCTTTCAATAATGGTGGAATAATAAGAGCAAAAAAATTTAAAAAAAGCAAAAAAACACTAAGAAATGTTATAGAATGTGCTTTATTTAAAATATACAGCTATTATAATGCTGAATAATAATGTGAAATAAATTATGGCAATGTAAGCTTGTTTGAGCACCCCTGTTCTCATTATATACAGGTTTACACCAGGCAATCTTTCTCTTCCTGTAGGCAAAATAACACACTGACCAACAGTGGAGATTTTTTTCTCTATTTTGTGGTTTGTTTTTTTTTTTTATCTGTAAAGGATCCTAGATGAAGTTTGAAGGCAGAAATAACTTCATGAGGTCTAAAATGCCACAGGCATAGGGCACCTGCCTGGGGAGGTCACCTCTCCCATTCACGTGTTTCTCTAAAGAAATGGTGAGAAGAAAACAAAAGGTTCCTTCTACCTATCCTCTGCCTTCTACCACAGAGGATCTCTAAGCTTTAATAGCAACTGGAATGGCACAGCTTCAACCACTTTTTCTTCTGCTTTCTCCCCTGCAGAACAGCCTTCCATAGATGGAACAACCCACCTGCACAGCAAGTCACTCACAGCTTCTTTCCCAGCACCAGGCAGGTTTCAGCCACACCATTTAGCCACTTCACTCCTCTGGGAAAATAAACTATTTAAACATTGCTTCAAATAGACAAAATCTAGCATCTAGAGGGTTCTGTCAAGACTCAGTGGCTTCTGCAGACCATCAGAACATTCCTTGACACTGACAGTCCTCTCTAAACTTGAGCAATATACAGCATAGACAATAAAAAGGTGGTTTATGACTAATACCACTGTCAGATATATTTTGTCCAAGTTACCTGCTTCTGTTACCTGCTCATATCATGAGCTTCTGCATCAAGAGCAAGTCTGGAAATACTATTTGAAGGGCAAGAGAAACTTTTCTCCTTTCCTTGGATTTTTACTGAACCTAGTAAATGGGATAGTTACCAATGAGAAAAGTAATTTTCTCTCATTGTAAACACATCCCTTCACATTACAAGATCTACAGAATCTTTGCATTTCAGGGCTTTTTTTTTATATATATATATTTTGCAGCACCTTATTTCCCCTCTGTAATCCATGTCCAGTAACAGCTCCTAAATTCACTTCCATATGTTTGTACTGCTAGTCTGTAGGTAGATCCCAGAGGAACTACCTGTAGTAGTGTGCACCAAAGGCCTCAGTGAGATGAAGTAAAAATTCTTAATCTGCAATGACAGTGTACCAGAAAAGGTTCATTGTATTGATGTAAATACCATATATAACTTGGGCAATTGAGCACTGCCTATGCAGAAAATTTTGGTAAGATTTTCCAGGGTGAAAAAAATAGGATACCATTCTCCAGAGTGACCATTAGCTTGAGGCCAGTGTTCAGCTGTAAGCAGTGCCAAAAAAACCCACCCAAGATTTCAGAAAATGGTTTGTTAGCCAAGCTGTGAGGTCAACATATCGTGTGTCATTTCTAAGCAAATGGTTTGTTGCTGACCACAATCAAAGATCCTCAGTGTCATTTGCCAATAAAACCAAGCTGTGTGTGGGTCTGTCAACATAGCTGGAGGGAAATGATGCCATCCAGAGGGACCTTAACAGGCTTGAGAGGTGCATCTGTGGAAAGCTCATGAAGTTCAACAATGCCAGCTGTAAGGTCTTGCACATGGGTCAGGGCAATCCAAAGCACAAGTACAGGCCAGATGGAGAATGAACTGAGAGCACCCCTGAAGAGAAGGACTTGAGGATGTTGGTGGATGAAAAGCTCAGCATGACCCAAGAGTGTGCAAACACAGCCCAGAAAGCAAGCCTTATGTTGGGCTGCATCAGAAGAGGTGTGAGCAGCAAGTCAAAGGAGGGGATTCTGCCCCTCTGCTCTGCTCTGGTGAGATCCCATCTGGAGTACTGTATCCAGCTCTGGGGTCTGCAATAAAAGAAAGAGTTGGATTTGTTGGAACAAATCCAGAGTAGAGCCACCAAATTGATCAGAGGGCCAGAGCACCTGTCCTAAAAAGATAGACTGACATCTCCAAAGCAAGAAGAGCAGCCTGGAACAGGACTAATACTTTAGAATTCTTTCAAATGAAGAAGATAAATGTATTTTCAGTTGAAGGGAATTTCTGCACATTTTGCCGAAGGCTCACTAAACTTCAGACACTTCCTGTAATACTTATGCCCCAAGTCAGAAAAAACTTATGAATGTACACCTGACTCCTAAATTCACTAAGGTGTTTTGTATGTACTTAAAACCGTATACACTTCCAGAAAAAATTTGCAAAATCAGATCTGATTTTGCTTCTTCGTGTGTCCTTTCACCATAGCTGCTTTTTCCAAGCCCTGGCATATCTTTATAACCTGATTTACAGCCCCCTAAGTATTCAAGCTTAACAAGAAGCTAGTAAACTTATGCTTCAGTGCTTGTACTCACATTTGTCTCTCATTGGAATAACCTCATTTCCATCTATTAGCTGATTGCAATACAGATGACTCAACTTCAGGTCAGCCAAGCCTTTCCTGCCATGAAGATTAAGGGTCGGCAATATCTATTCTTGTTTTTAAGCAAGCATCATGACCCCAGAGACCATGTTGCTAGCTGCTTAACAGACTATTTATCTATTTTAAGATGTTCAGTGAGGCAAGAAAGCTTTCCCACAGCCAAACTTTGTAATTTGGCCACACAGTGTTTTTTTATTTGGTTCAAGTCACTTTACTCAGTTTATTCCCATAGCAAATGTATCTCCTCCCAGTGTTGTTGCAGTCTTTCCAGCTGACAGATATGGTCATCTCCAGAGATCCAGCAATTCATCAAAAATTGTTATCTTAGCATGGTATCTGACTTCGACTCACTACTCTTTTATATGGTACTGTGTGTACTCAGGTACAGAGTGGCAGACGGCAAATGAATGTGTATACAATATTCCTGGATTTGGGTGCCCTTCTACCAAGAAGAATTTTTGAGTTCTTTATGCATATTATTCAGAATACCAACTTTGCATTTTTTCTTTTACAGTAGATATCAAGTACACTGCAGGAGCACCTGTTTTCTGCCAAAGCATATGAATCTCCAGTAAACACTAACTACTACATACAAGTATGTAATATCACAAATAAGAGAACATATTTTCTATAAAAAAAAGGTTGAAAAGAGAAAAAAAAAAAAAAAAAAAAAAAAAAAGAGAGATAAAAAGGCTGAACATGAGCCAGCAATGTTTCCAGGTGGCCAAAAAGACGTTGGGGGTTAGATTTCCTTTCTTTTGTTCCTTCTTACCTATAGAATTTTTCCCAGAAGTTACTAAGAAACACTAACCACTTATGGCTTATGGGTACTTAACAAACAAAAGTGGCCAAGCTCAAGAGAGTAAGGCATCTGGTGACACTTCACCCTTTGGGAGTTTCTCTATAAGGGACAGAGATAAAATGAGAACTGGACATGTGAAGTGGCGGGGGCAGCAGCTAGTCTCACTCTCCCACTCGGCTGCTATTTTGGGGAAAGGATTTCCCTGCTGCCACCAGAGCCCAGCACGGTCCTGCTGTCTTCTGCCGTGGGGATCCTGAGCTCGTACCTCTCTGCCCTACTGGAAGCCGGGCTGCTGCTGTCCTGCTCCCGCTATTTCTTCAGAGCTGCTCCGAGCTTTCGCTGCACGGTAGCCCCGCACCTCCTGCTTGCCGAGACTCCAGATATCCCGCGAAACATCCCGCGGCTCCAGACACAGCTCCGGAACTTCTGATACAGCTTGCTATCACCCCGGGATTTTTGCTCATTCCCACCAGCCTGTCTTGCTGCTCCCTAGAGTCCTGCGGGGGCACCAGGACCGGCTGTCCCAGAGGGGCTTGTGAAGTGAAGCCTCTCTCCCGTCCCTTCCCGTCCGGGCCGAGCCGCCATCACCGCGTGTGGGCCCAGCCCGCGCCACAGCGCCCCCTGCCGGCGCGGCGGAATCCCCGCCCCGCCCGGCGGCAGCAGCAGCGCCCCCTGGCGGCCGTGCCCGGAACTGCAGTGAGGGGAGAGCGGCCCGGAGGGGTCACTGGGGCCTGCTCTGTTCGGTGTGAGTGCCAGAGCTGCTGCTGTCTGCTTTATTGTACACACCAGTAAAGAACTGACATTCCTACCCCCATATCTTCACCTGACAGCCCCTTAATTTCATAATTATAATAATTCGGAGGGAAGGGGTTTACATTTTCCATTCCAAGGGAGTCTTCTGCCTTCCTTAGCAGACACCCGTCCTACAAACCAAGACAGACGGCCAGTGGCATCCTTGTCTTTATCAAGAGCAGCCTGTCCAGAGGGACTAGGGAAGTCATTCTCCCACTGTACTCGCACAGGTGAAGCTACACCTCCAGTTTTGTGTCAAGTTTTGGGGCCCTCAGTTCAAGAAGGACCAGGAAAAGGTGCTGAAGTGAGTCCAGAGAAGGACAAAAAGACTGGTGAAGGAACCATAGCACAAGTGTTACAAGCAACAGCTGCGGGAGCTGGGGTTGTTTAGCCTGGAGAAAAGGAGGCTCAGTGGAGGATGCAGCCAGGTGGGGCTCAGTCTCTTCTCCCATGTAACCAGTGACAGGACAAGAGGACACAGGCTTAAGCTGCATCAGGGGAAGTTTAGGTTGGACATTAGAAGAATTTATTTACAGATTGGGTGATTAGACTTTGGAATGATCTGCCCAGAGAGGTGGTGGAGTCACTGTCCCTGGAGGTGTTTAAGATAAGGCTGGAGGCACTCAGTGCCATGGTCTACTGAACATGGTGGTTTTGAATGGTAGGTTAGACTCAATGATATCAGACATCTTTTCCAATCTAATTGATTCTGTGACAGAAAAAAATA